TTGCTTGCTATAAAGAAGCCAGCGGTCATGCTGTGAGCTGCCCTCTGGAGAGGCCCACGGGACAAAGAACCGAGGGCAGCCTCAGCCAATGAAGAATTGAGTCCTGCCAGCAGCCACATTACTGGGCTTTGGAGGAGATCATTCCCCTGAAAATCCTTCAGATAAATCCAGCCCCCGACTCATGAGAAACCCAGAGCCAGAAGACCCAGCTAATCTGTGCCTGCATCCCCAACTTGCAGAAACTGGGAGGTAATCAATGTTGTTCTAAGCAACTGTGTTGGGATAGTGTGTTATGCAGCAATAGATAACTGATAGAAGGATTAAGTAAAATAACACATAAAAAGGGTTTAGGTGTTGTGCCTGGTCAATCAACGGTGGCCATGGTCATCATTATCACCATTACTTGATTGGACTGAAAACCCTCTGAGGGGAAAAATGATGTCTAGTTACCTACTGCAGACCAATCCCCTAGCACAGTGCTAAGACCAGAATCTTTTGGTCAACAATAAATATTTGCTGACTAAAAGAATAAACAGGGATCCTCTAGATTCTTACCTCCCAGGCCAGAAAAGAGGCTGCTGAGAGTTGGAGGAGCAGACCTGCTGGGTGTCTGAAGGCCCAGGTTCTCCCTCTAAACAGAAGATGGACCAAGTAAAGTGGGTGCATGTCTCCCAGGAGCAGTTACCACAAAGCTTGCCCTTGTGTGTGTGTGCCACATTCTTGGAAGGCACAGAGAAAACGGTGACTTTAATATGGAAACCATCCTCACCTACCTTCTCTCCTGGTCTGCCAGATAGATGCTCCCTGCGTTGTGCATAGGAGGAAAGGAGGAGCTGTGTTTTATTTAGCTGTGTAACACTATTTTTCTTGATCGAAGAAATATATGCCAGAGGGGCTGAAAGTAGAAAAATAGTTCTCACCCCAAAGAGCTTTATTCCCCAAAGCCCAGGCCCCACAGAAGTAAAAAGAAGCTGCCTGCGTCATTATTGCATTGATGGCCCATCCTCCCATCCCCCAATCTCCTCCATCTACAGATCACCCACACCTGCTTGAAGACTCAGCTTAAATGCCTCCTCCTCCATCACACCTTTCCAAACATGCCAAGCAAATGTAAGCACCCTAGGCTCCTGTCCCACCCTCTTCTGATGCCTCCATCAGAGCACGCTAGGTTTCAGGCTTGGTAAGTGCATTCCTAGAACTGCCCAACCCACGGGGTCTACAAACCAGCTTCTGGAGGGCAAGAGCCACGTCTCATTGCTTCTGTATCCCCATCTCATCAGAGTTGACAAAGCGCTCTGAATGAATTACAGAGTGCTGTTTCATTCTGGATTCAGAAATGGCAGGCTTAAATCTCTAAAGGGGAATTCAACCCATTTTTACCCAAGAATGTGGGGAAGAGAAGATAGGGATTGACTCTAGAAGGAAAGCTTGCTGAGAGCTCTTTATTCCATGGAGTAAGGAAGTTGTGCAGAACACAACATCACAGAATTCAGTCTGCTTTAATATGGAAACCACCCCCATTCTCTGGACATTGTCAGGGACATTCTCTTATCCTAAGACAGTAGTTCTCAAAATGTGATCTCCAAATCAGCAACATCAGCATCACTTGGGACCCTGTTAGAAATTCAAATTCTTAAACCCTAGCCCAGATATTCTGGATCAAAAACTCTGGAACTAGGACCAGCAATCTGTGTTTTAACCAGCCCTCCCTCCATATGATTCTGATCACACTTAAGTTTCAGAAACCCCATTCTAAGTCTACCAAAGCACATGTGGAAAAGGCCTCAGAAACACAATCCATATTGATTTAATAGTAAGATTAAAAGAGAACCCAAGATTATGCCCCTTGCTGTAAAATGCCCAGGATCAATGAAACTCCCCACTATTTTCCACAAAACTGTTCAACAGGCAATTAAATGAACTCAACACATTTATTTTAAATGTGCAAAATGAATTTTCATATCCTAAGAGTAACACCAGATGTTTTACCTCTTTTTCCTAATTGATTTTTCAGCCTACAGCAATTCGTCTTTATATTTTCCAGTTGGATCCTAATGTGTCAAGAAGAGTATGTTCCAGCAGAATTATTGAATGCCATGCATTTTAAAAGCAGCATAACTCAGACTGCCTTGTATCATCTAGATGGTTGTCTCCCCAAAATATAAAAAAACAGACAGCTATAGGTACCAGGCAGGAAAGCCAGAGAGGCCCTTTCAGAAGGTGGGATCTCCAGACTCTTGGCTGGCTACAGAGCTGAGTCTGGGCATTGGGCCCAAGCCTGGGCTCTTCCCACAGAGTTCTGGACTCCCTGGTACTGAAGGATTTGTTGGCTGTGAAGGATTTGCTATGTGAAACCTGCAAGTAAACACCCTGCTTTTTTCAATGGGAAGTTTTGCCTTTAAAATGAAAAAGTAGGGTATGAGGTAGAGTTGAGTGGAGCCAAAGAGGCAAGGAGTGGTGACTCTCTCAGCTCCTGGTGGAGCCCAAACAATCCCCCTCTGTTGGCTACCATGCCCCTGCCCAACTGAGCTGGAGGCCCTGTTACTGCATGTTTGAGCTGGTGAAAGGTCATTACTGACCAGGTTTTTTTCACTCACAAAAACTCTGGAGTCTGGAAGAAGACAAGGAAACCAAGGAAACTGACTCCTCAGCTTTGAAGCAAACAAACTTCAAAGGAGACCTCCCTTGCAAGGGCCCTGGGTCGGGGAGGTGAATGGAGATGGGGGTAAACAGTCCTGAAACCCAGAAAGTGCTGAAAAACAAAACCCAAACTTCTTAGGTAGATTGGAGGGGTGCCACTCCCTTCCCTGGAAGCTCCTGGGAGCTGGCAGGTTTGAGCCCTCATACCTACAGCAGGATTTCAATGTGGTCTCCAACTCCAAATTAACCTGACTACATTCCAGAGCCTCAGCAGAAAAGATAAGGACCTGAAATCAGCTCATAAAATGGGGCTACTCCAACTTTAAGTAGCAAACACCCAGTCTCCCATGGATGATATAGCCCTTCTCAGTCCTTAGAATAAAGCATTCTAGGTTCCTTCCAGAAACATATTCAGATGAAAGTTCAGTAAAGAATCAGCTCCTTATTTGAATTCTCTCTCCCACTTTCATTGAGGAATTCCTGCCCCAGTGCTAACAATCTACAGTCTCATCCAGGGTATTGTCTAACCCCTAGATCTGAAGGAGACCCAGTCAACAGCCTGAATAACACTTTGAGAATTAAAAAAAAAAAAAAAAAAAAAGTTCTCTAAGCTTAAGATGCACACATAACAACTTTTCAAAGAAGCTAAGCCCCCAGAGAGACTTCAGACTATCTTTAAGACATGCTGATGGACTCACCTAATTGGACTCAATACACATTAGGTCCAAGATCTTTACTTTGGTGTCCAAGTAACCCCCTCATCTTCCTCTAGGAATGTGACAGGAACAACCTGGTCTCCCTCAATCACCCAACCCCACATCCCCCAAAGGGATCTCATCATCATTTATTATAGGACAAATGGTATTGTTATCAAGAAAGGGTCTTACCAAAGAGTTCTTCCCTTGTCCCAAATTTATAGATATCTTTATACACTATTAAACCACAGGAGCCATTTATAAATGTCATCATCATAGTCTTTTAATATTTTACATAAAAAACTGTATACACAGCTTATAGAACTTTTATGTAAACATCATAAGCTCACCACTTTGTCATTTGTCAGTTTATTTAAAAAATAAAAAACAAGACAACAATTTAGTAGAAGTACCACTGGGCTGGGAGGAGAGGTGAAAAAAGGAAATGGGGGCAGGTTTATTCTCTGTACAGAGATGCAGAGAAGATTTCACATAGCTATAGAGACTGCCTTGTGA